TCAAAAGACATAAAATATTAATACCTCTAGTTGCAATAAAGAGGTGTGGAGTGTTCACGCTAGTACAATTAACCAACTCAACATTTAATATTTAAAAAAAAAAATTAACTAGAATTTTTAATATATAGGATTGGAGGGGAAAAGATATTAAAGAATACGCTGTATTTTTCTAAAATTACAGTGTTTTCGATTATTTGGCTATGTTTTCAGTATACAATAGAAAGAATGCCGAAAAAGATATTGGAGCTGAGTACAAGTGAAGAGAGGCAGAGACAAAAAAGTAACAGTAGATTGATGAATGAAGAATCGTCCTGAAAAGTACAATAATTTATCCTTTAAATGGTTAGAGATCGAATATCAATTCTTAAAAACACATTTTTTTTTAATTTTTTTTTTTTGTTTATTAATGCATATATTTTGTGTTAAACTGAACATTATATATACTAATTAAGATCTTAGAATAAGTCATTTGATTCGCGTGTAATTACTTCTTACTTAATAACATTCAATCTATAAAATCAAAATATCCTAGATTATTGCTTATGAATATATAAATAAATTTGTAATATGCTGTAGGTTTTTAATTTTTTTTTATAATTATAATTACTACATTTTCTATTTACTACATAAGGTTTAGAATTATATTTAAAATATGAATTAGTTTTAAAAACCTTAGTTGCGCTAATAAATTTTTTATGTAAACACTATAGTTAGAATTTAATTCTAATTAAATAAAGAAGTATATAAAATCTTTCCTTTGCTAGCTGACAATACATAAACTTTCCAGAGTTTTACAAATATTCCACAATATCACACTTAATTGATATATTTGGACAGCTCTGGCCAACCACACTGCGACCTCTGTAATTTGAACTCTTCTCTGTAAGCAATTTTCTAAAGATCGGCAAGATATCACCATCAAGCAATTCGGTTTCGGAGCTCGCACCATAAATTGAAGAATCTGTCTTGTTGCGATGCTTACGTAGTTTATCAGGTGCTACATTTGGTGAAGAGTGATGATGTGTCGCATATTGTATATTATTCTTATTCAATTTGCGTTGCGTTATACACTGACTGGCCGGTGGAGTGGGTTCCCGCTCGCGTTCGCTATCTGTTTCGCTCTGACAAACTGTACCCTTTTGTGGTTTATGACGATGTTTATTACGATTCTTTTCGGACACAGAACGTACAATTGGTGATGTATTCTGGTCGTAGGGTATAATATGGCTATGCTCACTACAACGTTGTGGATTTTGATGATTTCGTGGTGACTGTCTAGAATGTTGTTTAGCATGCGAAAGTGTGTGTGTATCCCAGAGATCACTCTGTGATACAACAAAGTTTGATTTGAGTGCAGTACCTGTACTGACACGTCTATTATCTGATGATGTTGGAGCTAAAATATACAATTTTCAATGAATATATAGATAGATATATAGTATCTAGAAATTTCATAGTTACTTTTCATGATATTATTGCTTTTATTATGTATGCTATGTGGGCATACATTATTTACTTCTGAGTTCGATGTAGATATATTAGTCGATGAATTCCTATGATTAGTATTGTATTTTGGGCGAGCAGTTGGAGTTTGTGTACCATTTTCATGCTGTTTAAAACAAAAAGAAAAAGGTTTTAAAAAATTAAGTGATGAACTTTCAAATACTTACACGTGATGCTGTCGATTGACGTCTTTCACGCAATGTCGACTCTTCCCGCCTTATGCTGTTGCAATCCTGCCGTTTCGTTTTAGTTATGATACCCATATTCTCATCAGTTTGTGCTGAAACAGAATTACGTTTTTCTACAGGTCTTTGATACTTATCGTCTGAGATTTTTTTCTGCATAAGTGCTTGATGCTGTTGTTGTTGATGTAATTGATGTTGTATTTGTTGCTGTATAGGTTGAATCGATTGCAGTTGTTGTACAGGCATATGACTATGATGGGTCAAATTTTCTTGCATTTTCTTCTTCTTACTGGAAACATAGTATATTATTAAAATGATTAAATTTAATAATTATAAATTATTATATTTTGTTGTTTGTTTAACAATTACGTACGGTGGTAGTGAAGGTGCTAAAGTTGTCGAATTGACAGAAACTAAAGAATTATCCATTTCGACATGTGTAGATGTTACACTTTCCACTGATGTAAGCTCCGTAACTTCTGTTTGAATATAAATTTAATATATGTACATTTTAATATATTATTATATATGTGTTAAAGTTAACCTGTAGTGCTCGGCATTTCTCTTCGTACTGGTGGTGCAGATAATCTACCAATATCGTTAAGTATAGGATCAGTATCTCCGCTTAAATTGCCTGCACCACTACAAGCCACACCATCTAACCATTTACGTGCCTCAGGTCCGATTTTACGTATCAAAGCTTGTAATTCATTTTCTTTTTCCATCAAAATCTTTCGGAAACGACAATTTGTATTCTTCACATCCCTTAAACGTTGTTCAAGTTCACAAACTGAAGAATCACGACGATTCTTTGACATCGGACGTAGAGTAGCACGCACACGTTTATCTACAATACCTTGAGGATTGCGTTTCAATTCAACCAACTAAATAAAATAGTAAAAGTCAAATTTTAGTCAAATTACAAAATAAGATTTTTCACATTTAGTTCAAATAAAAAGTTTTAGAAAGTTTTGAAATCATTGTAACGAGAATATTAAGAGAAAGTATTACATACGTATACAACATAAAATCAGATAAATTTTACAAATACAAGAGAAAGCTGAGAAAAAAAGTAGAGCAACAATTAAAATTAATTTAACAATATATTTATGTATGTTTGTTTGCTAATTTAAATTTGTAAATATTGTCTAGATCTTATACATTTTAACAAATAATGTAAATAGTATCTATAACTCATGCTACATTAAATATTTAAATTGTTTAGAGTTTCATTTTGTAATGTAAGTTATTATATACTTTATTAAATAAAAATCTAATTGTTATTTTTTATAATTATTATTATCATATAAAATTATTTTATGAACAAAGTTGCAAACATTTCAAAGTTTATATCAAAAATAATTATATAAAATAAATTTATAAATTTTATAAATTTTTTCGAAAAGTAGTGAACTAGAACAACAAAAAACCATTTTTATTTTATTATTTTAATTAATTGAATTTTTGGCTGACCATAAGCTGTTTCGAGTATTGCCAAATACCTATCAACAGTGGTGTTGGAAAAAATTCTTGTATTTAATTATTCGTAAATAATTTTTTGAGACTGAAAGTACCAGGAATCGTGTCCTGCCAAATTCGAAGCTCAGAGTCAGCGCATCTAAAGCAACTGACCCAAAACCATACTTTGTTATAAATAAATTATAAAAAAAACTAACAACTGGTATTTATATTAAATAATTCAAAATAGGATTATTTTATATATTTATATGTGATTTTTAATAATAATATTGAACACAGATTTTCAATAATTTTTAAATTATTTTTTTATGATATTAGTATTTTCATATATTATTTAAATTATAAATATGTACTTTTGTACTAAACCATATACTTTTTAATATTTATAAAATGTTTATGTATAAACATTTTATATTAATAAATTATAAATATATACTTTTGTACTAAAGCATATATTTTTTATGTTATATTTTAAATATATATATATTTTAAGTTTATTCATAGAAGTATTATATTCATAAATTAAATAAATTAAAAATATGTACTTTGGTGGTTTAGTACCACCAAAGTACTTTTTAATATTTATACAATTATTTACATATTTATTTATTTACTTATTTGTTTGATTTGTTTAATAAAAGTATAATTATATTGAAACCGTTACATATTTTGTTATTTTTAAAAATTATTCTAATTATCAATTTATTATTTTTTTAATTATTATGAATTTATAAAAAATAAAGCAAACTAAAAACTTATAAAAAATAAATTTATTTAAACCGAATGAATTATAGAATTCTTTGTTTCTTTTGTAAAAAATTTTTAAATATAACTGTTTTAAATAATTAAATTTTAATAATAATTGCGGTACACAGAGTAAAATAATTATTAATACAAATAATTATTCAAAATTCTGTTTTACCACATATTTTATATATATAATTTTTTGTTATTATGGTTGTTATTTTCAAACATTTTTTAATTTTATAACTTATAATAAACTTATTATTTTATTTTTTATTATTTGTAGTTAATTTTGTTTTGTTTATATATATACATATTTGTTGACAAGGTTTAATGTGAACGGAAAAAACTATTTATTTTTCTTATAATAAAAATATTTATATATAATATAAATAATTAAATATAAGATAATTATAATATAATGTAAATATATAAAAAAGTTTTATTAAATTCACATATTTTATCCGCAAATATTAATTGATTTTCAAACTGTTATAATTTTTTTGCATTAAATATTATAACATTAAAAATGTATTATATATGATAATTTGAAATTATATTTTTTATTATTATTAATATTACTTGTATTTTAATATTTTTAAATATTTATTTATAATTTAGTCTTTATCACTTAGAGCGCTACTAAGTGTAGCACGTAAAAATTGCGTTTCAGCTGTATATCTAGATTTTAACTTGACAATATTTACAAATTGAATATAGCATATAATATATATATAGTGTGTAAATTTTGTTATATATATATATTGCTTATATTATTTATATCAATTTTTTCAATACAAACAGCTACAAAAACTACAAAACTTCCTTACTACCAGTCTTACTTTCGGTACGAACACCAAACACAAAGTAGCTGTCGTACAAAAAATTATAAAAAACGATAGTAAGACAAAAACTAGATCTTTTCGATCAGAAAGAACAAGAGAAATAGCAGCTCCAGCGATGCATGTTATAAAGACGTTATAAACCGAAAAGCCAATGTGTTTGGAATCATTTAAAGCTGGTATGGAAACATGACGAGTTTCCCATGCCAGAAAAGCGCCAAAAACCTTTAATAAAAACAAGTAATGAAGAAATGAATATAATGAATAAAAACAATATATTACCAATAATAATCCTTTGTATGCATAGATTATACTAACAAATATTGTCATATGCTCCGATTGGCAATATTCATTTTCTGGTATGACCAGAACATCATCAATCGATTCGTGATGCTATATAAACATAAAACCTTAGTGTACAAAAAATATAGATAAAAAACATATTTTACCCTTGGCTCCAATTGTTTTGTGTCTCGATAAAATGGATCTGCCACTTGCCAAGTAGTTATAATGGCAATGTCTATAAAAAGTAAAATACCGACTACCATAAATAGTTGATAATCCTTAATAACTTTTTTGTTTAATTTCAAATCAGTGAATATTGAATGAACTCTCCAAGTTTTCGAAAACATAGCACCAAATGCTAAACTAAATCCAGCCATTAGGATCCAAGCACGGGCTGTACAAATATATGGAAAAGCAGCCACGCTACTAAGCGTAGTATCTAAGCCAAGGAAAATGACACTCATGTAAGTTAGCATGCAGCCTATTATGATAAGATTGTTCAAATGTGGACTTGACATTTTTATGTATCTTTAAGAATAAAATTTAATTATTATATATAAATGTACACACGAGTATATAGTATACCTTTGATTGCGATATTTTATATTAAATGCCAAAAAGACACAAGCTATTACAATGCCAACAACCGATGCACTAGCGGACACTATATAAATCGTCAAATTAACTTGACTATGTTCAATATAGATTAATGTACGATCCTTTGGTGGAGTTTTGCCAACCTTTAAAAAATAATTTATAATTTATAATTAATTAACATTAATATTTTTCTTCAGTTTTTATTTACCCATCTTATAGGTTTGCCTAATGTTAAATCTAGATGATCGAGTTGCGAGTGGTACTCTCCAATTTTCTCATTTTGCCCCAATTGGAACTGATTTATCAAAATATTTGCTTTACGTTCATTATTATAAAAACGGACTGGTCCCTATTTGAAAACAAAAGTATAAACATATTTTATTACTTTTATTAATAAATATGTATTAAAACTTACAGTTACTCCTTCAAATGAAGTATTTCGTAGTGCTTCTAAAAAAATTGTTTCCCAATCCTTCACACGATAATCAAAATGTGTCAAGAAATCTTCACGTTTCTGCGCCACGTACTGTATTGCAAGCGCTGCTGCCCATATGCCGTCATATGTGTATCCATGAAAGCGTGAATATTCTGTACCACGTAGACTATCATATTCAGCAAGGTACTCATCTGCTGTCTGAAGAAAAAAATGTTATATTGAATATTATTTTTCAATGCATTAGACTTTTGTAATAGAATAATCGTCAGCTCGTAACATAAAATATACTCTTTAACATTCAACAATAATGTATAATGATTGTACAATTTATTAAAGAAAATTTGAAAAATAAGTCAGTTATTTTCAATAGGTACCCAAGTAGATATTATCTCTTAACATTTATGAGGCTACATAGGTAATTATAAGGAGGTGCTTGTTTAAAGAAACTTCTAATTATACGTTTTGCCATAAATGCAATGCAATTGTTACCTCTCTCTTGTTACCTTTTTGCAAACTATTCTTATTGATTTAAGATCAAATCGGATATCTCTAATTAGGTTAGGTTAGCTTGTACCGACGATCCAAAGGGCCACTAAGGCCCTTTGTCCCATTGTGTTACCGTATAAGAAAAAAAATTAAGAATCACCTTAATGGGAGGTCTTGTAGTTGACCAAGTTCGTTAAAAATGAAGAATCCTAAAGTAGTGAGGTGGCGATGCACATATGTTGGGCAAGAACAAAGCAGATGAGAAGCAGTTTCATCGTCCACTCCTCAACTGAGGCAGATATAAGTAAACCTGTAAGTAAACCTACCATAAAACTGATTTCTCTACGGGGCAATATATTCTTAATTAATTAATTAACAATGTTTGGAATATTTACTATTTCCTTAATTAATTGCCTCTACTATTGATATTTCAAGAATAGCGGTTTTGGACATTCACTTGAAGACAAGTTTTTACGAATCATATTTGCAAAAACTTTTACTGAATGATATATATAATGATGAGATATATGAATTCTAATAATAGTTCCTTTTATAAATCAATATTAGAAGGTCAAAAATATTTTTTTTTATAACAGTTTTCAAAATCTTTCTTCTGCAACATTGCGAATAATGAAACTCTGACAGGGGCTTGGTAGTCAATGACGAGCAAAATTGATCACTTCTGGAACCGTTAAAACCATTAATTTAATTTACTGCTATTATTTTATCCAAATTAATATTGTTTTGCACTGCATAAGAGAGGTTGATATTTAAAATTATTATGCGTAGAAACGCAGATGTAAGTACCTATCCAGACTACAATTTTTATAGAAGAAGTTATATTAATTAATAATTATTTATTTTTAAAATGGATGATACAACTAGTGAGAGACTATATTTGCTAAAGATAACAAATTAATGAGATTCAAATTAATATTCAAATGTGCAGAACTTTATCTGCTTAAATCGTGTTCACAATCGAAGAACACAAATTAGTTATACAAAAAGTTTCTAAAACTTATTATATAAATATCAGGTATTTAATATTACCCATATTAACATTGCATATTTTCGTATTCATTTTAGAATTACTTACAATTCCTGCTATTGTTATATCACCACTTGTAGATAATGGCAATAAGTCCACCAAAATTGTGCCCTCTAAAGCGGTAGAAATCTCTTCCACCGTACATTCGGTGTCGATTGTAGTGTTCCACCATTCCGTAGAATATGTTGCCATAATCAGCCACTGATAAGCACGTCCATACATATCTAATCTAAAGGCAATATAATTTAACGTTATATCAATAAAGATATATTTATGTAAATTTTCTTACTTAAAGGCTTCACAAAATACTTTTCTTGCAAAGTGTTCGTTGAAGTTCCCTAGTATAATTCGCACATCTAAAATATTCAAAAATATTAGCCAGAGTTTTTACTCAGTCTTGAAGCAAACATGTTAACCTTTATCTCTAAGCTTTCTTAAACTTTCATTCACATCATTAACGAAGCTCTGAGTTTCAACAACTTCTAAATTATCGCTGTCCAAATCAGCAACCATATGATTATGTGGCAAAGAATATCGTGGTTCATTCTGATACAAAGTTCCAACTCTTGTCCAATTAAATTCTTTTAACAGCGCCAAACGTGGTGCGTTAAATGCATTTTCCGAGGGTACTACTCGAAAAAAATTAGGAAATGCATCCTTCGTAAACATAGGATGCGTATCTGCGTATGAAAGCTGTGTCAGATGCCAATGTTTACTAGCCTTCGCAATCGGGTCAGTTACATGGGTGCAAGCTGCACCAAATAACATAAGTTTATTGGGACCTGAGTGCATCATATCGAAAAATGACTTTACACCCACCGCAGCATTGCACTATAAATATATAAAAAATATATGTGTAAATATGTTAAAAAAACTTTATTATTTATCAGTCATTTGAATACCTCTGTATCATTCCACCACATATGTAAACGATAATTAGTTAATATTCTTGGATGCTCATTTACATGCGATAAAGCCAATTTAACACTTGGCATAACACCACGTCCTTTAAAGATTATATTTTCTAGTTTACAAAATTTTGGAAATATAGTTATTTTGTTACCAGTTTCTGAATTCTCAACTCCATCGCCATATGGGAAAAATCCTGCTATGTAGACATCAGAACGTTTTGCAGTACGAGCATATATTTCATTCCAAGTGAATATGAGAAGTGCAATTAGCACCAAAGTTTTCATGCTGAAAAATATGAAATTATTTTTCACAGATATATTAAAAATTATATTATTATATTATTAAAATATTATTATTATTAAAACCGTCGTCAAGAATTAATTAAAAATTTATTAGCTTTTGAAAGCGATTGTCATACTCGTATTACAGTGAGCAATATTTCCAAAAACTTCGTTATGAGAAGTCTGAATTAAGCAATTTGTATGCAATAATAAACCTCAATCTTAACCTTTTCATTAACATTTGTCATAAACTTCCAATAACTAAACCTTTCACTTGAATATAGCTTGATTGTGATAATAAATGTTCCACAGATTTTAGTTATGCTTCATTAAAGGAACACAAAATAAAGATTTATGTTGGCATGCAACGTGGCAATATCACCCATAACATCTACACAGATTGATCAAAAACGACGAACGAAATGAGGGCTTATATTTACAGCGCAAAGCTGAGTATCAGTAAACTAATCAAGCTGCATAAACACTGCAGTATTTTCTAAGCAGAAGCTTTTGCAGTAGACCACAATGAAACTGAATGTAACTCTCCAAAATAAAAAGCTACGTACCGATGAAGACTCTAACTTCAAATTATACCACATCACTTTTTCCACAAAGCATTGAAACCATAGAAATATTAGCTGCAAATAGACGGGTACATATGTTATCAAGTTTTTTATATATATTTTTTATATATATGTTATATGTTTTTTGTTATCAAACCATAAAGACTAAAAGAGATTTTGAAACATATCTGATGTTCTATGCTCTGCTGTAGGCATCTTACATGTTAAAGGTATAGGGACAGCTAGTCAGATTAGTCTAACCTAATCTAAAGATTTGTGTTGTCAGACGAAACTATATTAATATTGCATTCTGGGAACCTAATTCTTACTATTTACACAGATAAATTATTTTGGAAAACCAAATTCACAAAAACAAATATTCTAGGAGAGACATGAATTATATCATAAGCTGTGATGATATGTTATGAATTGAATTTAAGCCAACTTTATAAAGAAAGGGTTTTTTTCTGGTTCTACTAAATACCACCATAGCATATTGCAGAAGCAAATATTTAATAAAAAAATATCCACATATTAAAGACGAGATATACCTTACCTCTGTCTATATTATTTATTCATTACTATGCTTATTTTCTGAAGTTCTTATATATATATATTATATAATATACCTATGTATTAATATTAATAATTTGATTCTTATTTAGATCTCTATTATTTAGATCTATTACTCGTGCCGATTTCTATTATATTAATTTTCAGGTTTAACGTAACAGTGTTAGTTTATATTCCATTTATTCTATAATTGTTAAGTGATTCTACATTTATATTTAGTAGAATAGATTGAGATTTATGTTCCCAATAGAGTTCCTTCTAACTGTTTCGCTTACTGCCAGGTACAAAAGTATGTTCAAAGAGGAGCCATGTAACTGTGTTTAGAGCCAAATTTTACTTTTAATATACATATACTCTTGAAAATTACATTTTTCAGTATTTCTATATATTCAGTATTTCTATATTTAAAAAAACGTTTCTTTGTTAAATATATTGTTTCCAAAAATATTGTTTCCAATATCATTAACAGTTTCACAACTTCTGTAAACCGAAATAGATCTTTAATATAGTAACCAGTCCTACCCGAACATAATTCGAATGGTCTGACAAAGACTTGATTTGTTTCGTTGTTGATTACTTATTTACCTTCTGCTTGTTTTCTTGATCAAATGCGAGTTAGTGTCTAAAGCACTTTGATTCATAAGTGTCTGTGACTATTTAGATAATCCATTTTAATAAGAGCTCCGTTGAATTCTGATAATAACTTATTTATCGACAAGATTATAAATTTCTGCTATAGAACCTATTTCTAGCTCATAGCAAAGCACGGATTATAATTAGAACTCTCATCACCAGCCATAGAGGGTATTCTGGTACATCAGACATTTTTTTAAAATTAATTCATCATAGAAGATTAAAGTTGCTGAGTAGCGACCTAGTTAAAATAATTTTCTGGTGGATAAAGACATAACGTTTTGATGAAGTTCATTTCATTAATCTTTAAAAAGGAGTAAGGGTGTGGAAATAGATAATATTTTTTTCGCTTAAAACAAACGAAACTAATTCTTCTCTGAAACCTAAGTTTCTATATGTTTTCAGATTAAATCTTTGTCAAAGTCGATAAAAAATGCACCAATTTTAAAATAATAATTCCATGCTCAATGTTGGAATTATAAATAATCTTGTCACAATTAAACACTTTGGGAATACACTTCCAAAAAATGGTTTCTTAAAACTGTCAAACAAATTTTGTCACACATTGAATAGCACATATGTACGATTAATTTTTCAATCTTTTTATCATAACAGATTCTGAAAGAGATTCTGATTATCAGAGATATTAGACCCTTTTATTTATACCAACATTGTACCTTTAATTTGGCTTAATTGTATATGCTTTTCGTTTGTTGGGTTTTGGGTGTGTATATAATGTGTATCCCCCAATATCTGTATAATCGAACCATTTTTCTTTTCAATTATAATAAAACTTTTTAAAAATCAATGATTTAAACTTATGTCTTTACACGTTTTCATTTAAAATTTATTTAATAAAATTTCAAGGTATTTTATATTTAAAATAAAATATTACTTGTAATTTAAATTATTGATTTTTATCAAGGATGTCGAAATTATTAAAAACTTTAATCATTCACTTGTTTTTGATACTCAACAATATTTAAATAAAAATTGATATAACATGGATGTTACTTACATTACTATTATAAGTTTTATATAATTTTTCTTTAAAACATCTTTTAATATAAAATTTTGATCCGAGTTCTCATTGCGAAGTGTCTGAAAATTTCTGTATCTTACAACCTTTGGTAAGTTTCAAGTACAGAGGATATTATAGCTTTATTGGACATGCGTTAAAATTTGACAAATCCTTTTGGACCACATTCATAATAAAATCAAAATATCGTAAATAATCTAAACAGTTGACCGGTTTTTTAAAAATCACTTTTTGTTTTCATGACAGTCTTCGTAAACAAAGAGTTTTGAGGGTTGTTCTTAGGTCTATGAACCCATATATAAGATTAGAAAGTAAATTTGTGTTAGTTGAAGTGAAATTGAAAAAATTACCGGATCTATGTGTACATTGTTGTCCTAGTAACGACTTTGAGTTGAAAACATAAACAACTAAAATTTTTTATCGACAAATAATTGATATGCAATTCAATTTGCAATTATATTGTTAAAAAATTAAATTGTTAATATAACGCTTTTGATTTGAAATATATAAAACAATGGAAGATTATGCTCCAGGTCGTTATAAAATGCTAGAAAAAATAGGCGAGGGAGTGCATGGATTCGTTTTCAAAGCTATCGATTTACATCGTAATAAAGAAGTGGCTATCAAAAAAGTTGCATTAAAAAATAAATTTGGAAATATTTCATTGAGCACTTTGCGAGAAATCAAAACTTTACAATTATGTAAATCAGATAATGTAAATAAAAAGTTTATACAGATAATAGTGACAATTATACAAAATTCTAGTATCTTTTAGATAATAACTATTATTGACATATATCCAGACCTTATTGGATTGTCTTTAGTGCTTGAATATATGCCAGATACCCTGTATGCCAAACTTAAAAACGAAGCAAGCCCCTTAAGCAGGCAACAAGTACGAAAATTCTCGTTGATGATGATGAAGGGTATTGAGTATTTGCACGGACTTGGTATTATGCATAGGGTAAGTTGTAAAATAGGTGTTAGATTATAACTATTTATAATTATCTATTAAATTATTAATTAATATTTTTAAAAGACAACAACAGCCTATTCAGTTATTAGTAACTATATTATATTGTTTGTTTGTAGGATATAAAACCAGCCAATCTTCTTATCAGCCAAAATGATGTTTTGAAAATTGCAGATTTTGGACTTGCACGTCTGTATTTTTCAGAAGAGGAAGATAAATTGTATTCTCCGCAAGTGTCTACACGTTGGTATCGAGCACCTGAAATTTTATGGGGCAGTCAGAAATATACACCTGGTGTGGATATATGGGCAGCAGGATGTGTTATAGCTGAAATGTTAAGAGGAGTTCCTTTATTCGCTGTACGTCAATTGTTGTAAATTGTTGTTGTACTTTTCTGTTAAAAAAGTTATATATTACCTATTAGGGTACGACTGACATTGAACAGCTTGCTTTAGTCATAAGAACGCTAGGTAGTCCGCAACTGAATGAATGGCCTGAACTTAAATCTTTGCCAGATTTCAATAAAATACGGTAACAAATTTAGAATTGAGATATTTTAATAATATAATTTTAAAAGAATATTTAATTGTATAGATTTCCTAATGCAGTTGGAATTCATTGGGATAACTTATTTCCTAGTTGTACACATGCAGTTGAAATTAATTTGGTATCAAATTTAGTTGTATATAATCCAAAAAATCGACTTAAGGCTTCTGAGGTAAATATCAGATGATATAGGTATGATTTTATGTAGACATATATTTTTCAGGCTAAAAGACATGAATATTTTAGATGAAATTAAATTATAAAATCTACAATAACATGTTCGGGATATATAAGTATGTATATATGCTCAAATAATTTTTCGAATATTGTTTAAAAATGGAAAAATAATATTTGCAACTTTACTAAGTTTTACTTTGTTGAAACTAATTACTAACAAGGTTCATAGATATTATCTATGTATAAAAAAATAAAATCTACGTATACAAATAAAATTTAAATACCTAACTTTTATATTTAATCTTTGAATTAAATTATTATAACCTTTTTCTTAACTCGACAAAAGCTAGTAAAAGCAGTTAAACTTAAAGTAGTCTTACAAAATAGGATCGTACTCAACACATTAGGTATAGAGTGTTATATATAATATTACAATGAGTTTAAAATGTCTGCTGTGTTATAATGTTATTTAGTGCATAAATTAAAAATATTGATTAATTGTATTAAAAAGAAATATATTTTTATTTCCTGAACATTTTTTGCTTTTTCTGATATTGCAAATTGCCTCGTTTTAGACAGTATTAATGTTATCTTTGATGTTTGTGTTGCTCACATAAACACCCAATATAATATCGGGAAATAAACAAAAAAATTTTAAATGCGAAAATATTCTATTTGGAAATGATTTCTGTATTCTTAAGTGTTTGGGTTTTACACAAATTTTAAATTGCTTATGTATAGTTCAATATACCCCAGTCAAGTGCTTCCAGAATAGCAGACACAAAATTTTTAATTTTTTAATACAACCCTGTTTGGTTTATATAAAAAGACATAAGGTAACCTTAATTCATAGTAACAATAAATCAAGTGCCACACTACTAAATTCTTTTCAATTAAAAATGGATATGTTTAAAACACACCCGGGATTTTGTCCAACATGTGGCTCAATATTTCCACCACTTCGGCCAACTGAAAATGTTACATGTTATAACTGCAAAAAGGTTTTCAGTCCAGATGGTAATATTTGATTTTATTTCTTTAAATAAATTTTGAACCATATTGCGTTTGATTTTAGTTTTAGGAGAACAGGAAATTGAATATACTATACATTTTAATACATACGACCCAAAGAAACTAAGTTGTAAGCCGGAAAGTGTAAACAAGAGCGAGGAGCCAAGTGGTCCTATTGTTGAACGAAAATGCTCACAATGTGGACATGACAAAATGTCATATGCGACATTACAATTACGTTCTGCGGATGAAGGACAAACAGTTTTCTTTACATGTTTGAAATGCAGGTATGCATTATATTGGAAGTATATATTAGTAGATCAAAATAAGCAAAAATTTATATATTTCTTTATAGGTTTAAGGAATCTGAGAACTCATAGGCTGTTTGAAATAGTATTTATTTTTAAGTTAATAAATAAAAAAAAAATTCAATTTTTGTATTGTGTATTACAATCATTTTAACCAAATGCAACCTGACAGTTTTGTACTAAAATGACAGCTGAAGTGTCAAAAGAATTGCGCTTATTCGAAAGTAAGAAATAATTCTTGCAATGGACAACGTAAAGAAGTTATTTGCAAGAAATTGTATTAACCGTGGTGTTATAAAAGTGTCTGATATAAACAAAATATTGGTTCCATTATGCGAATCTTGTAAGTGGTTTTAAATATGCTTTATATTTATAAATTACGTCTTATATGTCGTATTAGATGGAGTCTCAGTACCTACGGGGCCAGAAGTAATAAACTTTGTAAAAGAAATTAATAAGGAATTGATACAAATAAACCAAACACTAACTTATATGAAACATCCACTTAATAATGAG